TGCAGAGAAATCCATCATGGCAGCACGTACTTAAGGTTAAAAAGCTTTTTCGGAGAGCAAAACGCAACAGCAGGGATGGAAGCTATTGCGGTGAATACCACAGCTGGCATCAAAAGAAAATGAAATCTACGCTGAGAGCCTCAGCAAAGATCTGGCCTTGTTGACCAATTATTTCTTCAGGACTAGACAGGAGATGACTCCAGAATGACAAGTTGACAGGTAGACTGGGGACAGCAACAGGAGAGGGTTTTTTCCTGTTTATTTTTTTAAGTTAGAAGAAGATGATGTCAACCCAACAACTTTTCTTGTCCCAGTATTATGGAAAACTGGCTTTTCTTGGCCAGATATGTGGGTTGCAGCGTCCTACGGTGTCTGTGTTGACCCCCTGCTGTACTTTTCCAGGGGGTCCTGTGTGAGGAGAACATGCGCGCAGTGCGTTTTGACGTGCACGATGTCACCCTGCATGCCGACGCCATCCACCGTGGAGGTGGGCAGATCATTCCCACTGCCAGGAGATGCCTGTACGCCTGCGTGCTCACTGCCCAGCCCAGGCTCATGGAGCCCATCTACCTTGTGGAAATCCAGGTGAGGAACCTCTGCTCAGCCCAGAAGATCCTGAGCCAAGCAAAGGTGAGCGGGTCCTGACGTCTCTCTCTTGCAGTGCCCGGAGCAGGTGGTGGGTGGCATCTACGGTGTGCTGAACAGGAAGCGCGGCCACGTCTTTGAGGAGACCCAGGTGGCCGGCACCCCCATGTTTGTGGTCAAGGCCTACCTGCCCGTCAACGAGTCCTTTGGTGAGTGTGCTGGGCCTGGGCATGCTGGGTACCCACCCTGGGAAGGAAGGAAGGAGATCCTTTGTGTCCCGCTGCGCTGGCAATGATTGTAGAATCGTAGAATCATTTAGGTTGGAAAAGAACCTTAAGATCAAGTCCAACCATCAACATGACACTGCCACATCCACCACTAACCCATGTTCCTCAGCACTACGTCTGCTCCTCTGTTAAATCCCTCCAGGGACGGTGACTCCACCACTTGCCTGGGCAGCCTCTCCCACTGCTTGACGACCCTTTTGGTGAAGAAATTCTTCCTAACCACCAGTCTAAACCTGCACTGGCGCAACTTGAGGCTGTTTCCTCATGTCCTGTTGCCTCTTCCTTGGGAGAACAGACCCACATCACAGAATGGGTTGGGTGGGAAGGGACCTTCCAGTGCCATCTAGTCCAACCCCCTGCCGTGAGCAGGGACATCTTCAACTCGCTCAGGTTGCTCAAGCCCTGATCCAACCTGACCTGGAATGTTTCCAGGGATGGGGCATCCACCACCTCTCTGGGCAACCTGGGCCGGGGTTTCACCACCCTCACAGTCCAGAATTTATTCCTAATACCTAGTCTAAATCTTCCCTCTTTTAGTGTAAAACCACTCCCACATGTCCTGTTGCGACAGATCCTGCTTAAGTCTGTCCCCAACTTTCTTAGAAGCCGTCTGGAGGTATTGAGAGGTCGCGGCGAGATCTTTGTGGAGCCTTCTCCACCCCCAGCCCTTCCTCACGCCGGAGTCGCCCTGTACGACTTTGGGTTCCTCTCCTCCGGGTGGTACCCTGCAACCTGTTCTCCTTCCTCCTCCCCGCCTCATCTTTCTTTTCATCCTCCCAGGTTTCACGGCGGATTTGAGGTCCAACACGGGTGGCCAGGCTTTCCCCCAGTGCGTCTTCGACCACTGGCAGATCCTGCCGGGGGATCCCTTCGACAGCGCCAGCCGACCCTGCCAGGTGGTGGCCGAGACCCGCAAACGCAAAGGGCTGAAGGAAGGCATCCCCGCCCTCGACAACTTCCTTGACAAACTCTAATTAAACTCTCTCGTTGGACTCTTGGGGGTGGGGTGGAGGGGGAAATTAATTAAATTAGCCTGTGCGAAAGGGGTAGATGCCCGTCAACCACCATCTTGTTAATTAAATCGGTTTCATAGCGATGAAATGAGGAAGGAATAAAAATAAGGAGGGGGGGGAGGGGAAAGCCTTATAGGTTTCTGTGTTGCACATGACTCATCTTTGCCATTGTAACTAAAACATTTCCACTAGATTTGCCCAATTCTGTATTTATTTCACTCAAAAAAAGGGGGG